GGCATAAACAGAGTACTCGCAATTAGCGTATAAGGCCCATCTTTCCCGGTAATTCTTAACCTCCATCCACGTCCCAGAGCCTGAAAACTGCACACCATCGTTAGTCAGCTGTTTGAGCGACAAGAGCCGAAACTTAAACCCTGGCACGTAGTAGACGTTCCTAATCTTGATTACAACTGGACCCTTCTGCTTGTGGTAGTAGTAGTTCGCCCCTATGTGGTATGAACTGCAGCTAGCTTGATCCTTCGCGACTTCTACCAACAGGTCCCCGTAACCCACCGCGTAGTGCTCCTCTCCTCCGCCACACTTCAGAGGAATCGGGTCACAAGGCTTGTAGTCCCTTAGTGACCGTGCGTCCGGCGTGACGTGGTAGATAGCGCCTGAGTCCAGGTACCAGGTAGCATCTAGCTCTCGCAGCTGTGGCCCCGATGTCTCCGTACTGCCTGATGCAGCTGCCGACGACACAGCAAACGCTGGAGTGGACTCTAATTCAGAAATTTCTGCCTCCACCATACGCGATGGTGAATCCCCCAGCTCCAGCATGAACACCGGGCGCTCAACCACGGCAGCGTATCCGCCGTCGTTTCCAGCGCCTCCAGCTCCACCACGGCAACGTCTGTTCCGGCACTCTTCAGCAGTATGACCCAGCAAACGGCACTTCGTACACTCTTTCCTCGGCTTGGGACACTCCTTGGCCTGGTGACCAATCTCCTTGCAGTTGAAGCATCTAATGCCAATACCGCCGTACTTGTTTCCACGCCTGTAGCCTCCACCGCGGCCGTTACCGCCGCCGCGCTCGTTACCCCTATCTTGATCGCCCTTGCCGATCGCCCGGCGAAGAGGGCGTTGGGCGGTACGCTCGTTGATGCTCGTTCGTCGATAACGGTCTCGACGCCCATCAGGTTGTTCTCGAGCTCCTCCAGCGTCTTCGGCATCAACGTTGTACTATAATACGGTGCCCCCTAAGGGCGACCGAGACCGCGTTCGCATCCGCCACAGACTGCTTGCATGCAGTAAGCTCCGCGACAATGTCCTTAATCTTCTTGACGATATCCCTGAGGCTTTGAGTAGGCTGCATCTTGGGCCCGTTAAAATCCTTCCACAGCCGGAGCACGTGATGCTCCATCAGACCCTTGTACCGTTCGTCTAGCGCGTTGAGCAACTCCCGCGCGTCCTTGTGCTTTCCTAAAAGCGGCAGATCTTTATCGTCTAGTAGTCCGCAGATGACGGCGCACGCCGTCTGATGCCGTTCGACCGAGGTAGGATCATTTTCGTCGAGTGCCTTGACGAGCGCATTTCCAGCTTTTGACTTGATAATCTCGGCTTTCGTTCGTATAAACCACGTGATCTTATTGGCTACGTTTAGCCTTTCCGTGTAGGACAATCTCTCAGACATTTGCGTCGTTGCCACCGGCCTTATCCGGGGCTCATAACCTGTTGTAATTGGTAACTATGCCGTTGCTTAAGCACGTATTGCATACAACCTTAGCACATCGTTGTGTTACGAGTTAGGTAGATAAGCGCCAGAACTAATAAAGGCAAGAGCCCAGAAATGCCCGTGCAATCTGCAAGGCATGATACCGAAACCAGTTCGTCCAGAGAGCTGACCGCCACAAACTTAGTTCCACAACAATATCACTAATCGACTCAATCTAAGTGTTAATAATAACAGTCGGAGATGGTAACAAGAACGCCCCTGGCAGTCCCCGTCGGCCATCAAGCCCCCGGCTTCTGGCCATGTTGCCTCGCCCCAGGCACCAGCAGCAGCAGCCAACCATCTTCAGACACACGAGCTGTCTTCTATGGCTGCCACTAGTGGATGCACCCATACCCACGCATCGTACCTACCCATGCGGACCATGGAAAGGGAAACCATCCATAGCCACACCGCCGTTCACAGCGCTGGATAGAACGTACAACTTCGCATTATTACAAATCTTGAAATGCGAACGCAATTGCTCCCTGCTTTGTGAATACGAGCTCTACCCCGCCGAGCAATTACTGATGAGCAATCACCCTCCCGAACAACGACGTCCTTTCCGAAAGTCAACGAAGAGTCCAGGGGCTGCCGGAGATAACCACAACAGGATCCTACCTTCAGAACAACCCTAAGTCTCCTTTACTGGCTAGGGCCATCCACAGACATAAAATCCATGTTTCGCCAGTGTTCACAAGCAACCTCCAAAGCTCCAGCAGAGCCCCAAGCAAGAGGTGTCCAGCAGCAGCCTTCGTGCATTCAAACGCACTTTGCCTTGGCCTTGAGCCCGATGGTGTACTTCCAGACCTGCCCACCGACCAGCACATCAACCCTGACGCTGCCGCCGGCGCCAGCGAAGATGCCCGTACCGCCCACGATGGCGTTCACAAAGGCGGCTCCCTGCATGCAGCACATCAAAGTCAAATGCACGAATGATACAGCAGATTTTAATTATGTATTGCAATGCAGGTGTATGAATGTAGGGTGACGCTTGAGGGGCTCTCAGAGGGCACGCAGAAGAAAAAAGTACGGGATGAGCGGGGATGCTGAGTGTCATGACTCGTGAGCCGCGATGTGATTCTCGAGGATTTCCGGGCACTGCTACAATCGGACGGCAACGAGCTCGCGCATTGATTCCTTTACCAACTGGGGCTAATCCGAATATCTTAATTTCGAAACCACTCGCATTTGCCCTTTTCACGAAGCCAACCTTTGCCTTCGTCGCGGGACCTGGCCGCCGCGGCCCACCCCTAAATGTACTGTATGGCCTGGTCAACGTGCACGGGTTTCACGCACCGTGTCATCTGTGAAGGGTCCCATGAATGTCATATCGCCAAAGTAGCCGAAGGACAGAGTGGTGGTGCAGTAGTTGTTGGTAAGGCTCAAAAAGTAGCAGATGCTGGTTACCGTTCCAATCTGCAAAGCACGTGGTGTTTGTTGCACGCAACAGGTAACGGCAGCAGCAGGCAGGGCGGCAGGATGCACGACAAGGGCCAACATCAGCACCTCCCCTTAAGACAAAGCTGGCAATATCATAACCCAGGACAGGCAGGAGGTAGTCAGGGATGTAGTCCACGTTGTTGGCCCTTAGCAATTCGAGACCTCGTTTTGAAATAAAGGACACCTCGCCCGTGCTACGCACAATATCAGCTGACATCCCAGAAGTGCTAAAAATTAAAAATAGTAAGCAGTCTCTGTTAATTCGGTATCTAGCGCACATATTGCAATTGTTTCTGGTGACTAAACGGACTAAACTGCGAAACTTATTTCGGGTGCCGACGGAAGTTCGCCCACCTTGGGTGTGCCACTGGCCGTAGTGACGAGGACGATGTTAAAAAACCGGTTTGGGTGGCGGGAGGAAACCCTATTATTCACCTGTAACACAACTTCACGACCTGGAAAAGGAGTCAAGGCGGACACGAAGACTCCGTGGACAATTCTAAGGACGGTGTAACCGGAATCGCGAACGCACGCGTCGTGCGGCGAGATTAACTGTAAGGGACTGTGAGTTTTCCCGCATACTCCAATCACAGGCACAATCGACGTATATAATTAAACAAAAAATGCATTCATTCTTAGGATTGATATTAATCATCTAACGGTAAGTCTTTGACGGTAGCCGTAGTACGGTGCATACGGAACTGAAAGGCATCTCGAAGCCGCGGTCAAATAGGGGGGTCCTTGTGAAGCAGCTGCCCGCGTTTCCAAAGCCCGTATGGTGTTGGATTGTAAGGTGCCCAAGTACGTTTGCGAGGAAGAGAATGTGCCCAGGCTGGAGAGGAAAGTGCAGTGGCATATTGGAATGTGAGATTAGGGTAAGCGAGTTACAGGGCGTTTTATTGCACGGGCGAATTGACGTGCAAATCTTTCACCGTAGCATCAGTCCTCAGTTCACTTCTTGGAACGAACATCAGCATAGGTCCAAGCCCTCTCGCTTGGAGGGATATGCAAACAAACATCCTGATAGGGGTAAACTCGCACGCTACCGAGCATTCAACCGAGCACATGCATGCTTAGTTGAATGGTGAGATGCGACCCCCCCTTCATTTCGTGCTCGGCAAGCCTGCCACCGCGTACCGGATATGTTGGCGATGTTACAGAACGCTGCACCTTGGTTTCTGTGCGCATTGCGTACGTTGCTCGACCCCGCCGACCAAAACTACACGTGCTCAACTGAAGACATTCCCGGTGGTTGTGCAGCAGCTCTTGAGGCTGTTGCTGGCTGAAATCCATCCTGAGCTGTTGCAACACGGCTAACGCGGGCACGTCCCTATGCACAGCAAATAGCTGTTCCAAGCCAACAGCGGCGTCCATGTCACCGACAAGGCTCTAAACGTCTTATCTGTTCTTATGTTTAATTCAGTTTATGTATGTTATACTTTGCGCAACTTTGTAATTTGACTTTACTCTGAACAAGGTGCTGCACACAACTGCCTCTTCGCCAGCGCTTCATCTTCTTGCGGCAGTTTCACGAGCCCAGTGTTGCAAGCTACGACGTAGGCTTTCGGTGCTTTCAGATACTGCAAAGCAGCCACGCAATAGTCCAGCCTGTATGCCGGGTGCGACTATGGCCAACATGCCCACCTGCGCAATGCGCTGGCGCACCTGGTCCTTTTCCGCCAAGAACATTTATATACACTTGTACAGGCGCATTTGGAGAATCGCACGCGCGCATCTGCGCGGTAAAATTCGCTCCTGGCTTTTGGGGCGTCATGTACGGACCTTTTATTCGCGAAGTACGACCGGACACATTTGTGCGAGAGGCTGCTTAAAAATTGCTTCAAATGCATGAATAATTAAGGCCGACATAATCGGTGACTCACTTCAGCAGCTGCAGAGGGTTGCCGCGTTGATACGGCAGTCGAACTTATCATTTTCCGGAATCCCATGCGCATGCATTTCACGAGACAAGCTCTGTGCATGAGCACGCCGAGCTGCCTTCGCTACTTATATACCCAGCATCAAGCACAAGCCCACATCAAATGCAAAGTCAGTCCCAGGTCGCCGTCACACACGCACGTACGCAACGACTTTCGCGGCTCGCACGAAACTTCTGCCTAACAGCAGCAGCGGTGGGCGGTCACAACAAGTTATTGCGCAACTTGTAACTTGTAACTTGTTATCAGATATGAAGCAGACTTGTGTGAACTGTTAGTCTATGTCACTTTGTGAAACGCTGTGTGACACCCACTTCAAATGGTCACGCACGCAGCGAACGTGGCGAGTTGCTGGAACGCGAATCAAGTGTTTCTGCTAGCCAAAATGATTAGTTTCATGTGCATCTGCGCATCTAACGATTACGCATTGCCACGGCCGCGGGGGTTGAGCGGTCGTGGAATTAAAGGTCCACATCCGGTTGTCCGCTACGTAGTGTCGAGCTCTCCATGAAGACCTCCTATTTATCGGTGATATGGCTGTTTACTTCGTTGTTCGCCATTTATTTTGCCGGATGCTTCTCCATGTCCGTTTCGGATCAAAATCCCTATTACTTTCTTGTGCTGCTGATCCTGCCAAGCAGTTCTTTCCGCGTCAGTCCCTCCATTGATCGTAGGTTGATGTTCGCTTTATTGTCATGCAGCTTCTTCTTTTGAAGCGGTGTCAAGGACGTGGCAGGCTTTTGCATGTACATACGGCTACATGACATTACAGTGCCGGCAACTTCGGAAGGGAGCCGTCGGCGTGAAAGTATTAGGTGGTTATTCTGACCTCTAGGAAGTAGTCAGCGACAAGACCTAGCAAGTTAACAAGCAGACAAAGCGTTAGTTAGGAAGTTAAGGACGCGTTATCGACAGAGCGCCTTTCAGTTGTCTATCCATAATTGATATAAGCCATTCGCACTTACTTGGGTAAATTGTAAATTGGTGAAACAATTAAGACATGGAGACTTATGAAGAAATCTTACTGATCTGCCTCAATAAAATAAACCGACCAATATCATTACTGACGGCCCATTAAGTGGACATTAAGTGCTCAGGGTGGTTATCAAGTAAATCCCGTCCCCATAGTGCTATTAACACACTCATTCCCATCGATTCATATGCATGTGCTCAATATGCGTGACGATCACCTGCATTCATGTCCCATCCAGCTGCAGCTGTTTCTTCCATGCATTACCTGTACGGGATACGTCTGCTCCATGCATGATGTACGAGAATTCCATGCATGAAGTGCCAGGCGTGCTCCTTCACACCATATGTTCACTGGCTCACAAGCACACATGCCTTTTGCCTCCCAAGAGGTTGGTTTCTAAGTACAAGGCGTGCCCCAACCATGCAGGAATTCCATCAAAGCAACTGGGTAGATTGCAATGCTTTAAGCCACTCTAAAGCTTTGCTTGTAGCACTGCCACCGTCAGCTTGTTTGCACTATCATTTGCAGCAAAGCAGTGACTATGATCAGGGAGATCTCCTCTAATCACTGCTATTATTATCATCAGTCAAAAGTCAGAAGTCAAAAACGAAAGCAGGCTCTGTATATGTTCTACCTTGACTATCAGCATTCAAACGCGATATCAATCTCACAAAAACACAACGAGCGTTGGTTTTGAGCTGCAACGGCACAAAGAGACAACGCAAAGAGTCTCTACCAGAAGAAGACAACAAAAGCAGATGAAGATGACAACAAAAGCAGCGAGATGACAACAAAAGCAGATGAAGATGACAACAAAAGCAGCGAGATGTATTCTCTCGCAGCACTAAACGAAGCCGTACGTCGTACAAGCCAAATGCGAGATCTCAAATGCACAGGCACATCAATTTACCACAAGTGTTCGTAGCAGAAATTTCAAACACTCAAAACACCCGTTTTAGTTTAGGGAAGTCTGACCGGAATTCAACAACGAGAATATCTATCTGCTTTTATCGCTTCAACCTAGGCTTATGCACCAGAAAGCTTTGGCCCTCCGCCAGCAAACCAGTCACAACACCAATGATGAGATGCTCAAATTACGACGGTGTTCGCCATGATGACCACCATCGCGGCCCACGCAATCCAAAGTCCGCGCACCTGCATGCACCAGCCATCTGTATGTGCCGCTAACAAACGCACAAAATCATATGCATCAAGTCGGCATTCACAGCGGAAGAGCAGATGGTAGAGGGAGCCGGCAGAAAGCCAAGGGCAGGCGTGGAGAGGTTGCGGTTTGTGGGTTCCAAGTGAGACATGCATCGTGGAGGCCTCTAAATGCCGCTGTTGCATGCGCAGTGACGCTCAGCATTCTGGTATACTGGTACATGCAAGCCGGTGCCCACGCCCTGCCTAGCCCATCTTATGCCGTCGGCGCCATTTCAGTCATGACAGGCCTGATCTTTCCATTTACTGGCTCGCTGCAACCATCCGACCATCCTGGGACATCCATCCATCGGCTTGATTAGGAGCGAGTACAACCGGAATACACCCAAACCTTTTACAGAGGAAACATAACAGGAGAGATAAAACCTACCGGCAAAGGTTTTACAATTGCAAAAAGTCACCAACCAAAACATACTCACAAACAGTCGTCACTGTGTGTAGTGGCTGGCGGGAACTCCTGGATCAAATGTGGAAAGCTGGTACGCAAAGAGATAAGGCAAAAAGATAAGGGAAATATCGATCCATGCGATAGACCAGCTGCTGCACCTTCCATCCGCCATAAACACATCAATACATACAAGCGAGTCGTGCGCTTAGCTTAGACCTTGACGGCATATAGTATCGAGAATTTCAATTCTGATCTGTTGATGAACATACATACATCGCAATCGAAGATTCAATTAACTTACCTAAACCTTGTTAAGGAGTCAACACGCGCGAACCGAGTACAATGCCCATGTGCTCCATCACGCGTAAAGGAGCTTTCCACGCCTTACCAGACACACCTTACCAGCTCTATGAGAACTCTTGTTTCTTGGCCGGATTTATGACGATATAAAACCACGACAATTTAACAATCCCAACGCATCATCTCGCCTCAAAACAGAACCGCAGTAAGCATACGCGCGGTGCCCACGCCGCAACTGGCCTCTTGCCACTGGTTATAGCTCTAGTCGAAATTTGGCAACCTTCTTTACACCTCGTACCGCTGCCTACTCCAAAGATCCCAACCCTAAGAATACAAAAATATTAGATTCGCCCAGCCCGAGGAGGGCCAAATAGAATATTTCGTACAGTAGCAGCAGCGACAGCGGCAGCAGCGCATGGCCGCATAAAACCTGGCATCCAAGTTTTCTTGCCCGTTTCATTTCCAACCTGCCACCAGCACACCAAGTTCGTGTGATCATCGCGTTCCAGCGCTTCCTAAGGGAGCCGAAAAAACTTCGCGTATGATATTCCACCCATGCGCGGTCGCCTGCATTCACCCAAGCCACGGATAGGCCCACCTCCATCCGCGCCCGGGCCCGCCCTGAACCCCCCAACTCCTCCAACGCGCACCTGTGTCAACAACACACATACACATACACACAGTGCACACACACAGGCTTCCTCCGACCCTGGACTCGTCATCATATTCCTCACCTCCAATACCCCGGAGTGACAACATCGAGCACACGAGTCCTTCCCTCCTGCCAGCTCCATCCGGCCGCCACCTTAGCAGCAGGACACCAAGGTAACACGCAACAATCTTAACCGGCAGCAGATGGAGCCCTGACCACAGCCGCCGCCGCTGGCACGGAAGGTGGCGCCGGCGCCAGGCGCGTCAGCTCCCTCTTCGTTACCTCGTGCAGCTGTTCCTTCAGCATGAGCATCAGTGCAGCGTTGAGTGCTGTCTGCAGGATCTTGGCACGCAGGCCCTTGAAGAATCCGCCCAGGCCCTCGTTGCGGGCTGTGTCAACCATGACACCCCATGTTGTGGCGCGGTACGCCGCCGCGCCACCATGACCCTTACCGACCGACGCCGATGACGACGCCTGCAGCCGTGCCTTGATCACGATCAGCGGGTATGTCACTACCGTCGCGCCAATCTTGGCGAGGGCGCCGGCTAAGAAAACTTCACCAGCAGACAACTCAACGGATGTAGCACCAGCAGCGGTACGGCTGTTGCTTGCCGCCTTCACCTTGGGAGCAGTCGCCGCAGATATTGCTGTAGCTGTTTCCATGGCCTCGTCGCTATCCGCGGAGCAACGCCGCGCCAGCTCGTGCTCCTGATCCTGCTGTGTCGCGCTGGGCGAGGCGAGCGCTGCATTCGCGTGCACCAGGCGCTGTGCCTTCCACAGCTTGAGTATCGCCTTGATCTTCTCAAACAGCATGTACTGCACTGCGGGGTTGGCCAACAGAATCATGCTGGGCAGCAGACCCTTCCAAAATGCCCCCAGGCCGCCCTCCTTGAACACCGAGTTGATGGTTTCCCTGGTGGACGGCGGCCGCCGCTTCGAGTTGACACCCGCCAGGCTCTGGTAGCCCTGTTGATGTTGTCAAGGAGTTTTGGATTTCGGAAGCAAGAGGAAACGAGAGAGGAGAGGAGAGAGGAGAGGATATATATAAGGAGAGGACAGCGGTATGTAAGATAGGTAAGCGGTGGAGTAGTTTTTGGCTTTGTGGAGCTTTTCCATCGCAATCACACACTACGGAAAGTTCAGCTTGCATGCGAACGGGCACCGGCGCTAGGGTCGCTTTGATATCGGCAGGTCACGCAGTTTTGACGTCACGACAGGTCAGGTCAACGCCACTGCGAGGTGTGCGGAGGCAATCAGGCAAAGCCGTCCAAGCCGCAGGCGGCAACATTTACGCGCGATTTAACCTGCTGACCTGGCAAGCTACATGGCTTATATCCCTTCCAGCAGGCACCCACACACCTACACACACTAGTCACATCCAACTCGTCACCGACGGCATCCGCCGTGCATGCAGTGACACATTCACGCACCGTCCAAAAACGCCGTTACATGGAATAGAACCCACAGACAATCCATAACACATTCCGGTTCTTGTTTGCCTACCTGGCACGAAGGTCCCCCTCAGTCCTGTACATGCCACCTGGGCCCAGACTTACCTGCATGCGCGTCGCCACCACAGATGCCGGCATCGTGATCAGCTGGTTACAAGCGCCAGCTATGGTGGCCACCAGCAAGGACGCCAAGACGCCAATGTCCTTGCTGCGGCTCTCAGCGCCGGCAACGCTGTTGCCACGCTTCGACCAGGCGACGGCTTGTTCCCGCAGCTTGCTGTAGAAGAAGAAGTAAACGCCGCTGGAGAGCGCAGACTCGACCACATTGGGACCAAGTCCAGCGTAAAGCGTTGATAGCTGTGCGGCCGCGACAGCGCATTCGAAGCGAAGGAAACAGGCAACAAGGTGCGAGAGTGTGCGTCAGCACTGCCAATGTCTGAGCATCAGAAACAAGAAAAAGCGCGGCGTGCTGAATATTGGAGGAGGGATCAACGGGAGCGAGTTTGTTTGGCTTGTTTCCGTGGAGGAGAGAGATGTTGCCTGGAATGATGGCCATATGTTTGCAGTCCGAAAACGGCGGAGATGGAACAGCGAGGACAGGAAAGTGCACTTTTACCGGCAAATCGACGATCGTGGAGTGTGAGCACTCAGGAAATGGACATCATACAACGTCCAATACCGCGCACGTTCGTGAGGCACGGTTTGGGCTTTGGGAATTGTTTCTTTCGGTTCAGCAGGTTCGGGACAGCGGGTAGGTAGGAATTACCTTCCAGGATAAAAGAATCCTGGAAGGTTCAGGCGTATGTGAGGTGCATAGGATTGAGTTGAAAAGAAGACGGATAATGAGGAGTAAAAACCAGCGGGGTAATTTAGGGGAAAGGATTGAGCCCCCTTATCTCCCACGTGTAACCCAAAGGCTTTTACGGGGGATGGGGTTTTCTGTAGGCCTGGGAGAATGGTGCGACCTGGGATAATGGTATTATTTCGAGGTCCAAGGCGGACCGTGGTACACACGTGGGGTGGTAAAGGGACTGTCCTCCAGGCTTGCACAAAAAGCATAAGTGAAATATATTTCTCCAACCTATGGCAATTACACGGTAGTCCAGTTTGCACCTTGTATTGCTGAAGGAATCGAGCCACCGCAAGGAACCGAGAGCTGGCTTCTGCTGCCTCGTAAGCTCCAGAAGTGGTTCCCGTAGAGAGGGCTTGAAGCGTATATATTGTCTGCGACGAATGCATAACACTTGCGTCGTGTCAACGTCGCGTAATGGTTTCGGCAAACCTGACGAAGATTAGGGTTCAAGCTGCGCCACGCATCGCTACGCCATAGGATGGCTTGCAGACAATCACACCTTAAGGGGATACGTTGCTAGCAGCGCAATTACGCTGCCGAGGGCACCTGAACATCCCTCAACAACCGCATTGGATACGGCTATCGAGGCCGACATAGTCATTCAATGGACTATAACCAAGGAAATCTTTGGAAGATCAACTGGCGCTTAGGTAGGTGAGTTTCCGCCAAGGTCCAACAAGTCAGCAACGCATTCCACTATCTCAGCGATAATTCAACGCTTCCAAGATCCCAAAGAGTAGGTTCGAGCAGCACTTGTTGTCCTCCAAGGTCATAGATGTTGCAGGAAATGTTACATCTACGTTTAACTCATGATAAGCGACGAATCATTGGACGCATGAAGGCATACAGGACCCTCCCGTATGTACGCAGGATGCTTGACAGTTTATAACGGCAGGACGCGGCTACAAAAGGAATCGAAAACATGGGGGATTACTCATATCGTCCGACCTGGCAGTTTGATGAGTCGTGGCGTCATTGAAGGGACGTATACCGTGCAAGTTTACGCGTTACAGGGTTCGCAAAAATCAGTCATCGTTGGTTATATGGTATAATAATGCCGACGAAAAGCCCCGCACCAAAATAGTTTAGCGCTGTTGGGGGCAAACGTGTAGCAAAAAGTCATCCGGACGGTTAAGCGTCAACGGATTATCAGTGCTTAAATGCAAAACATATGCATCAATAATAGGGCTAACCCAAGACGGAACTAGCCAAAACGCCCTATGCACCAAGAAAGCAGAAAGCAAAACCTGTCAGCCGTGCCGCCCTTTGCACAACTAATCGCTTTCGATGCCTTCAAATAGCACTGCCACGCTTGTTCAGCGAGGTAAGGGCCATCGATACTCAGACCTGTCGCAAAGATCACAGAAATCCAAAGCCGCCTAACTGCCAATCGCGCCACCGTCAGGACCTTAGCGCACCGGCGGCGCACCCGCTGCTGCTTGCAGCGAACTCCTACCGATGGCGTACCCCTGCCTACCCATCCGCAACATCTACGCATGCCGCCCTCATCGCTACATCAAACGACCTACTACTAGCACCGTGCAGAATGCACCTCCAGACCGCTGTCACCCTCTACAAAACCCCCTACACACATATGTAGAGTTTCGCCTTTAGCAAACTAGATTCGCTTGTGTTCTTCCGAGGAATCCACGACGGTGCCCACATTGTGTCCCGCAGCTGCACGCAGAACGTTGCCCCTCTCCATGACGTTGAACACGAGGACGGGGATATTGTTCTCCTTACACAACGTAATTGCCGTCTCGTCCATCACCTGCAGATTGTCCATGGACACCTGCCGGTACGATAGCTGCGAGAAACGACGACGAGCGCGGGCGCCAATGCAGCAGGGCGGCACGCAAGGGACCGTCCAGTAAGGGGCGCGCAGCGGCACGAGAAGCAACAGTCAGTTATCCAGTCGTCACGGACATGGATAATCAAAAAAGGAGATGAAGAATAAACAAGCTTTAATACCTAATCGCTGAAGATGCACAGGCAAACGAATAGACAATCGCCACCTGGCAGCATGGATGCGCAGTACACGTAAGCTTCCCCGTATAAAGACATCCTCATTCCTCATCACGCACCCATGGCATGAATGACCATTATTAGTAGTGGCCCCAGTCCAGTAACTCCAGTAATCCATTCTTGCCAACATCTGCACACCTACCCCACGCCTCCGCCAAGCTATTGCCATAAGTTGATAAGTTTCCCTGGATCGACTGGACCGCTGGCCGCAACCTGGACCGCTGACCCAGATCCCTGTCACCCAGATCCCTGTCATCCAAATCCCTGTCATCCAAATCCCTGTCATCCAGATCCCTGTCACCGCCACTGCGGCGCTGCCCCTACCTTCTCATACTTCTTGGCATGTTGATGCTTCATAGGGTCGCAGTCGTACACGCCATCAACCTTGGTGGCCTTCATAAATACGTCGGCATTCATCTCGGCCGCGCGCAGAGCTGCAGCGGTGTCGGTGGTGAAGAACGGGTTCCCCGTGCCGGCGCCAAATATGACGACTCGGCCCTCATCTAGGTGCCGGATCGCGCGGCGACGTATGTACGGCTCCGCGACCTCTCTCATTTCAATGGCTGTTTGGACGCGCGTGTCAACGCCCATGTTCTCGAGGGCGCCTTGTAGCAGCAGTGCATTCATTACTGTGGCCAGCATACCCACATAATCGGCCTGCGCGCGGTCCATGCCCTTGGGTGCTGTCGCGCCGCGGAAGTAGTTGCCGCCACCCACCACTACCGCCAACTGCAGGCCTGCCTTGTGCGCTTCCGCAATCTCCTCTGCCACCAGATTGAGGACCGCCGGGTCAACGCCAAAGCCCTGCTTGCCCTGGAGGGCCTCGCCGCTAATTTTTAGAAGTACCCGGGGGTACTTATATTTCGGAGAACGGTTCAGGTTGTTAGACGTGCTGAAGGGCGCCGAACTGCCAGTGCTAGTGCTGGCACCATGGTGGGTGCGGTGGTGGGTGGAAATGTGACTGTCGCCATTGCTGTTCTCCAAGTCGATAATGGTTGGGCTGCCGTAGATAAACGGTTTGTTCTGAAAGTCAACTCCATGACTGCGGCCGTTGCTATGAGGCTTGTGCAAATGGTCGGCGACGGCGGCTCCATTTATGTGCGCGCTGCGGCACACACAAGAAGGAACGGCCTGGAACTGACCAAGACGAATTGCGCTAAGCATGTTCGCACGGAGATATGGCTGCCCTGCTTTGCTGAGGCTGCTGGCAACGCGACGAGACACGAGCTGCATTTTGTGGCCAAGCGAAGTGCACCGGCGGCGTGGCAGAAAGGAGCCCTAATACGAATTGAGGCAAATTGCACTAATACAGGTCACAACAATTGAAATCTGCGACAAGGACTGGTTGCAGAACAATTGTAGTTGGAAATGGTTCAGTTTGCAAATAAAAAAACAGCTACGACCTCAAATCCTGTACCATGTAGCCAAGAGATATTTATTATTGATCTGCTGAGGAAACGTTATAAGTCTTGTGGACTTGCTAGCGGCGGTGCTGAATTGCCTCCGAGACCAGTACGAAGGTGAAACCCAGCGCCTGTTCGCCCCCTGCTTTACCCTAAAATTAGGAATTTTGACATTTTTCAGCTACAAATACGACACTGCCGTCTTATACTGGCAGAGGAGGTCAAGCCTTTGACCATATTGTGCAAAGATCCAAGCTCAACGAAGGACATGCATTGAAAATATCATTTGATCCGCACAGATGTCATTAACCGCCCCTGTGACGTCGATCACAGGGTAGGCCTCCCCCGGTGACGCATACTGTAAGCGGTACCGTAAATCCTTCAACCCTGCGCATCAACCAGCCATAAATCCTCCCAGATGCTTCCCTTCCGTTACTTCTGTTACGAGGACATAAAAGGGTCCTCTCTAACTGTATTCAAACCCTATCTTATGTTGGCCTATGCTACGGGCGGTTACTGGCCAAACAGTGCCACAGCCCTAAGTTCAATTTCCGATGCTCTTGTGGACTTGATCATGTTCTGCATGCCAGGGTAATGAGACGCTGGAGACGCTGGGCATGAGGACAGGCACTCTCTTCATAGACCCCAGAACAGGGAATACATTTGGGAGGGAGATAAGATTGAAGCAGATTGACGGTTGAAGCAGATCCCAGACATAGACGGATAGATTTGGGAGGGGGAATGACTTGGCAAGGCGTGGACAGCGAAAAATAGCTGAAGGAGGTTGAAGGAGGGACATTGTGGCAGCTTGGGGATGGGGCAAGCTGGTTATTCGGCGGCAGCCCCACGGCATGTGCAGGGGGGTGCCGTGAGCGGCATGCTAAACCTGTGGCCAAAATATAGACATTTATCGGTATGCTTCGCCCCCTTGCACTTAGAAAACAAATATCCCAGTGTTATAAGTGCCGAAGCCATGTAAGCTCAGTGGATTGCATCCTGTCTTGGGGGCTTGTTGTAAGTGTCATTATGGTGTGCTTACACAGGACCTTGCACATGTAATTCTGTAACTTGCAGTCCCGATCACTGTCCCCAGAGTGCCGATCCTAAGTTTCTCAGGACGAGCGGGAGCAGGCCGAGAGGAGGGTAGGATTCGGGCTGGAATTAGGGAAGAGCTCTGTCGCAGAATTAGCCTGGATTTTATTCCTGACAAAAGAATTGGTCTGCCGAGGTCTGGAATTGTTCTGGCGGACCCGCCGGAGGTATTCGAATTGCGCTGTGGAGCCTCGGAATTGGGCTGTGCTGCGCCTGAATTGGCCTGTCCGGGTGTCGAATTGGCCTGTCCGGGTGCCGAATTGGCCTAACAGGGTATTGAATTAGCTTGACAGGGTATCGAATTGACCTGTTCGGGGTGTCAAATTGGCCTGACAGGGTATCGAATTAGCCTGACAGGGTGTCGAATTGGCTGTCAAGTTGGCAGGATTGGCTGGGGCTGGCATCCAAAAGCACATGACTTTTAAGGAATTTACAGAAAAACTTTGCAAGAGGACCGCTTACAAGTGCCTCATGTGTGTATTAGATTCGATCCCACGACATGGAGTGGAAAAACTTGCACACCTGGTTACCGTACTCTGGCACTACTACTACTACCGGAGGCAAGCACTCAGGGCCACGACTGCATTACCCAGTCAAGTCAGCTGCCGAGGTCCCACTGTTTTCCCACCACACTTTATCGACAGTCCGTCCAGTTTATCCCACAACACTCGTATGCATGAATAGGTTCGGG